ATTTGACAGACGGCTTAAATGTTCGTTCAGCGCCTCTAGAAAACTTTTACCATACGATTATTTGGCTTGCTTATCTGGACAACAACAATCAGAAATCTACAGAAATGCGCATTGAGTACATTCTTCTTCTTCTTTTTTTTTTTTGTCGAAAGAGCGATAACGTCTGGAATGAAAACATGAAAAGCGTACGAACAGCGACTCATCCAAATTACGCATGATTAACGTAATGAATGCCGTATTTTCCGCTGTACAAAGTCCACATACATACATACAAATATCATCTGTTCTCTCTTCTTCTCTTCTTCCTTTTTGTTTCGGATACACACGAATTGCTTGAAATGAAGCCAGATGGAACTTAACTCTGGACTTTACATGCACACACTATGGACCCAATATGGTGCATAAGTGTGTACATATATGCACATTAATCCGAGGCCCGATAAGAACGATGAGTGTCAATAACCGACAACGCAACGGTTATTTGGAGCGAGTGACTTCATTAGGAGGTATTGGGAGGGAGTCTTACGAAACGGCGCAATCCACAGATAATATAGCTCTATTGCCGTCTAGCTAAACAGACATTATCTCTGATAAAAGAGTATAAAAAAATAAATAAACAAAACTAAATGTTATTATCGGGCTGTCAAAGTTGAAATACCCTTGCAGACATTTAGTTAAGGTTCTAGACAGATTTTTGATTTGATATAAAAAGATTATAAAGCTGTCCGATCTTGTTGAGATTTTGTCGTTATGTTCATAAGTCAACAAAGTATGTTAAGATACTTTTTTTTCCAAACAGGAAACTAATTTTCGACTAATATTTTCCATACATATATATATATATGATATAGTCGCCCGACTTGTGCCTAGCTCCAAAATTGATTGTTTTGACTCAATCTGACATCAGTTCTGAAGGCGAAACGCGACTCGAACTCAGTTTTTTGTTTGTCGAAACGAACCTTGAATCGAATCAGTAGCCCAAAAAGGAGTCTAAACTAGTTCCGAATTGGTTCAATTGGTTCGTAGTTACATATTATTGAAGCGTTTAGAGATATTTAAGATATAAATCTTTAAAAGATCCCTAAGCTGAATGATATATCATTAAAAATTAAAAGAAATGAAATTAGCCAAGGTTTGAACCAGAATTCTGGCACGCGTTGGTTTGAACTTTTTGTTGCTCTTGTTGTTAACAAAGAAAGGAAACACGGACACGACCATAAAAATGGGCCTACTCAAGATATACATATGTATATATACCTAATGGGATGAGACCCATTTGTTGGTACAAAAAGAAATACCCTCTCGGAAAGGGTATACAAAATTCTGCACAACTATTGAGTAAAGCTCAAGATGCGTTTGCGATATTTAAGATATGTACTTACTTGCAATATCCCTAATCTTCAGAAATGAGATCGAGCAAAGTTTGAACCAGAATCTGGTACGCATTGGTTCAAACTTTGTTTGATAATTCACAATGCTAAATATGTATATATCTAATGGGATCTGATCGAGGGGCAAATTGGATAACTCAATGGAAATACCCTCTCGGAAAGGGTATACAAAATTCTGCACAACTATTGCATAAAACGCAAATATTTACCTTTAATATTTGAGCATGTTTAGATTTACAATTTGTTGATGTTATTGTATGTGTTATTAGAGCGCCTAATAAACAGTTACGACGAACCCTTATTGCCTGTTACAGCCCGACTCTGAATTGATTTACAATGTTGTAAATATACATTTTTAGAGGGTACCCCAATACAAATTGGTGCGCAGCTCGTAAATGCGATTACGACGGGCCCAAAGTCGACAAATATGTACTTTGGGTGCTATAGCTCATTATAGCTACATATATAGCGATTTAGATACCGATATCGGCGATAAGCTCGCCAATTGGCGCCCAAAACTGGATTACAGCGCGTTACCAGATATGACGACAACGTTAATTAGTTGAACTTTGGAATAATCTGAGATACCCCGAGTGTCTCTGTGTGTGTGTGTGTGTGTGTGTGTGTGTGTGTGTGTGTGTGTGTGTGTGTGTGTGTGTGTTTGGCTTGTGGTTAGCGGTTGAGAAGTCACCGAACGGAACTGGGCCACGTACCAGACGGCTGATTGGGTACATACCACTTATGGCCAGCGTCTGGAATGGCTTATCAACCGGACCCGGACCCAGACGGCTTTTCGTTGGACCTCGTATACCCCATTGAAGGGTCAGCGAGTGCCCCGAAATATAAGTTTCTTTCTCTTCCCCCTTTGCTTTCGATATTCAACCAAATTCGATAAATATCGATTTTTAGCCCTGATTTTCGCTGAATATAGATCAGTTTCTCTCTCTCTCTCTCTCTCTCTCTCTCTGTCTCTTCGTCTCCCCGCATTTCTGTCTCTGTTTTCGATAACTCTTCAATCGAACCAAATTCGATAAATATCGATTTTCAGCCCTGATTTTCATGACCATATCTCGCTGAATATATATCAGTTTCTCTCGCTCTCTCTTTCTGTCTCTCTCTCTCTCTGTCTATCTCTCTCTCTCTCTGTCTCTTCGTCTCCCCGCATTTCTGTCTATGTTTTCGATAACTCTTCAATCGAACCAAATTCGATAAATATCGATTTTCAGCCCTGATTTTCATGACCATATCTCGCTGAATATATATCAGTTTCTCTCGCTCTCTCTTTCTGTCTCTCTCTCTCTCTCTCTGCCTCTTCCTCTCCCTTTTTTTTGGCTCTATTTTCGATAACTCTTCAATCGAACCAAATTCGATAAATATCGATTTTCAGCCCTGATTTTCATGACCATATCTCGCTGAATATAGATCAGTTTCTCTCGCTCTCCCTCTCTCTCTGACTCTTTCTTTTTTTTCTCCCTTTTTTTTCGTCTTTGGTTTCGATAAGTCTATACAATCGCTCTCTCCATCTTCAACCAGATTCGATAATTATCGATATTCATCCTGACTTTAATGACCATATCTCGCGGAATGTAGACAAATATCTCTCTCTTTATCTCCCCCTATTTTCTTTTTCTTTGCGATAGCTCTACTGAATACAACCAAAATCGATAAATATCGATTTTCAGCACTGATATTTTAAGACCATATCTGGCTTGATTTAAAAGCTAGTTACAGCAAATTTGTTTGCAAAGTTCTCTTATACTGTGCGTTCATCAAGCTGTTAACTTTTCTCATTCTCTACATTGATCGATAAATATCGATTTTCAATTGTAGTCTTGCTAGCAGAGCATGCAGAATTTGACACCAAGAGTTAAGTACTTTAAATTAACGATAACTTTACTAATTTACCCAAAAAATCGATAAATATCGATTGTCAACATTGGCTTTAATGATCATATTTTGCCAGAATTTCAATGCTAGATACCAAATTTGTCATATATCTAGTGTCATATATATTCTATAGTCGCCATAGATCAAGAATATTTACCAGTTCGAAGAATATTTACCTACCTTAGTTGGGGGCATAATCTAATATATATAATATAATAATGAACACAGAAGTTGAGGTTAAGAGTACATTTTCCACTCTGTGAGTGGAAGAAGCACAGCTGCTTTATAAGTACAGGGTATCTGGGCGGGCGTGCAGCCTCATCTGAAGCACATTTACTTTGTTGCTGTTGTTTTACCCACAAGTCATTTAGTCAGAAGCCGTTGCTTGAACTTTGGAACCGCGCTGGCATTACATAGAGCTGAGCAAATATTACGTATGCGCGTTCTACGTGTAATGCCCGTCCATGGCGCCATACCCATCCAATAGCCAGCGCCGATGACATGATCCTACAAGCGCTTGGTCAAGCGAATGCACTGCGTCTTATCGCCCTATCGGTGGCAAAGTGTACGTATTCTGGGCGGGGTCAAAGGTTTCGCACGCACACAAACACAATGCGATTGATAAGAAATGCCGTTTGAACAATTTCTATGGAACTGCGGCTAAGGACGGGGGGACGGGGGCGGCGCGCATTGGACTGCGTATTAATCTAGTTGTCAAGCATGGCGCGTCTTTTACTCTCTCTCGCTCTCTCGCTCTCTTTCGCTCTCTCACACACACACACACATGCATGCTCCCTGAGAACGCCTGCGTCTGGTTGGAGTTCGAATGTTCCCGTTCCGCATCTTGGTGTGATTTCAATTATGCAAATGCCAATGGGAATTGCATGTTGGCCCACCTGCCGCCCAGCCCTCAAACACGCCCCTCCCCCCCCCCCGTCGTCCCTTCCCCTTCCCCTGCCCCCACCCGAGCCAACCAAGGCAGCAGCCATTGAAAATGCAAATAAAAACACTTAATTTGATTAAACCAATTTCGAAACGTCATTTTCACATGTTGAAATTCAATTCAAGTCCAAAGTAACAATGCGACACTTACCAACACCGGTTGCGTGAGATGTTCGCCAACACAGTGCATGCAAGCAGTAAGCGGCCCACATTCAACGATATTTATATATGTATATATACATTATTTTTGTTTTATCTACTTATTTTTATTTATTTATATTAATTTATTTAATAAACAGCATTTATACTTGGTAAGCTACTTTTTCAATATTGTTTACTTTAATTTACACAGTGCCTAAAAATAATAGTTAAGCTTGCAATCGTATTTGCTCAGCTTTTAAATTCTTTGCAAATTAATTAAGCTGGCAAAAAGCAGTTTTCCAACAAATTTATAGGCGCATACTTTTGCCACACACTGTCGCTCAAGTGCAGCACTGCAGCGGCAGAGTCAGCGGCGTCGGTGCGCCCGCAAGTCCAAAACTCAAAAGGCAGCGCGGAGAGCGCGTAGAGAGGAAGAGTGCGATTGGCGTACTCTCCAATCTGTGTTTCGCCATCTCTGTCAGCCGCACGCTCACACTCGCTTTGGCGCTCGCTCGCCTCGTGCACGTCGCCGCCGCCGTTGTCGTCGGCGTCGCCGTCGTCGTCGTCGTCGTCGTCGTCGTCGTCTTCTGGAGGAGAGGCCCTCATAATAAACCAGCCGCGCAGCTTGCAAGTCAGTCAGAAACGCGTTGAGTGCGACAGCGAACAGACGTGCCCAGTGTCCAAGAGATCGTATACATACATATACACAATTCTACAGGCCCCCCCACACACACACACAGACACGCACACACACAGCCACATTTAAGTTCTTTAGCCCGTGGAACTGACACGCACACACATATATACATATAGAATTGTGTGCCTTTTTTTCTTTGGTGCCACAAAAGTCGAATAAAAAGTGCCGTGCAAAGCAAAAGCATAAAACAAGAAAAGTGAAAACCAATCAAGAAGCAAAAGAAAGAGAAATAGCAACATTCAAAGAAACATGGCAAGTGCTGAGCAAAAAAACGCAACTGGCAACGGCAACGGCATCGCCAAGCACAACAACAGCGTGTTAACAGAGCCAACCGAGCCGCCCAAGGATGCCAAGGATCTGCTGCCGCATCTAGAGTCGCTGGAGCGCATCATAAAGCTGCCCGTGGTGAATGCCGCCTGGGATAAGTCACAAGATGTCTATGGAAAAGTGAAGGGTAAGTGCAATTCAAACCCTCTCTCTCTCTCTCTCTCTCTCTCCCCGCCTCTCGCTCTCTCTGCCTTTAGTCAAGCTAGTTAAGATTAGTTCGTGTTGGCGGGCGCCATGTGTTGGGAAGGGCATTGAACTCGGGCTTTGCTGCCGGTTAACTAACGGCAAATCAATTGCAGCTCGAAATCGTAGCCGACTTCGAAAGAAAAAAAGGCGAAAAAAAAAAAAAGAAACGAAAGAGCAACGAAAAGCAAATATCAAAACCGTTGCTTAGCGCAGCCAAAGCGCAACTGCGACGGTGAGTGCAAAGTTCGCCATTTTGAGTGTGAATTGCTTGACGCGAATTCGCCGCAAAACTCGAACTCGAAAACTTTAATTGAGCCGGCAAATTGCAATTGGCCATTGCCAAATTGAATCCAATTAAGCTCAATTGACGCAACACTCAATAAAACGCAACGGCAAATAACAACAACAACAACAACAACCATGACCTGCCGTCGTTAAACTGGCGAAATTCTTTCACCAAGCTCATGACGCGCCCGGCGGTGCGTGCAAAGTGCAAAAACAACAAATTTACATAACTTAATTTGTTGCCAGCCCAACAACACGTAGACGCAAGTTTTTAATTTTTCAAAATATTCGTGTGTACACACTAATGAGTGAGTGTGAATGTGTGCTGGTGTGTGTGTGTGTGTGTGTGAGCTATGAATAGCTTAGAAAACTGCAGTCAGTGGCGTGACCAACAGGGGGCGCTAGCATACAAAAATATTTGCTCAAATTGTCACCGCCCTCTGCTGTGAATCAATGCTTAAATGTTGCTGCTTGTATGTATGTGTGCGTGTGTGTATGTGTGTCTAGTTGGACTTTCGACTTGTTTGTGTTTTATTTAGTTTTATTGTTTTTTATACCATTTTGCGCTACCTCAGAGATGAAATTGCTGTTGATGACTAAATGGGCAGCAACTGTCAAAGTCTAACTCAGAATATAGCTAATAGCCTAACGGCAATACACACAGCCAAGTCTTGGGTCTGGCAACTGCGCAGTTGCTTATCAATCAGGCAACGCCAAGTGCCGATAAGGCAGCCTGTGACTGTGGCATGCGAAGCGTGGAGGGGAAGGAGGGGGGCAGCTTATCACAGGGCACAGAGCTCAATTGTGAATAATCACGCACACGTCCATACATTCTTCTAGAAAGTCTATATTCATTTTCTCTCTCTCTCTCTCTCTCTCTCTCTCTCTCTCTCTCTCTCTCTCTCTCTCTCCCTCTCTTCCGCTCTCTCGTCTCTTTTGCAGGCAAAAACCGCGTCTTCAATTGGGCCCTAAATGCCGCCGAGGATTGCGTTGCCCGCGCCGTGACGACCGCGGCGCCCATTGTGAATCGGTTGGATCGTCCCATTGCGTATGTGGATCAGACTTTGGTCAAGGGCATTGAAACGCTGGAGGTGAAGGCGCCCATCATTAAGGACACACCCCAGGAGATCTATGCCCAGGCCAAGAACAGGGTGATCGATGTGGTCCAGCCGCATCTGGAGCGTGTCGTCAAATTCAAGGCAGCTGGCCAGCAGAAGGCCGCCTCCCTCAAGGATCTCGCCTGGCAGAAGGCCAACGAGGTCCTCGCCACCCAATACGGCAGCCTCGCCGTCAACGGTGTGGACACGACCACAGCCCTGGCCGAGCGTCTCCTGGAATACTATTTCCCCAAATGCGAGTCGGATGTCGAGGAGGATAATGGTGAGTAACGCCTCTTAATCCAATTGTGGGCGTGGCATTCCAGGGTATATCACATTGAGTCCAATATCTAATATTGATACAAAAAACAAAAAAAAAAAAACCCCCCCTTCTATCCTATCCTATCAAATGGAATTCATTATGTTTGCATTAGTTTTAAACAGTTTCCGGGCATAGTTCATGGTTAACAGACATATCTCTTCATAAACCCAAAACTAAAGTTCCATTTGAGCTTTGATGAACCAAAGCTCGATTGATTTAATACAGAAAATATGTGTCACGTGGAGAATTGCATCGAAAAGGTCAAAGAGCAAGTTATTTAACAGCGACAGTGACTTTTAATTAAGAGGAATATTCCAGAAATGCGGAGGTTTTCAATAACTGGCAGTAGGAGGGATTTCCGAAGAGAAGAGACTCCCAAAGGGAAGAGACTCCCAAATGGAAGAGACTTCCGAAGGGAAGAGACTTCCGAAGGGAGAGACTTCCGAAGGAAAGGAACTTTCGAAGGGAAGAGACTTTCGAAGGGAAGAGACTTTCAAAGGGAAGAGACTTTCAAAGGGAACAGACTTTTGAAGGGAACGGACTTCCGAATGAAAGGAACTTTCGAAGGAAAGGAAATTTCGAAGGGAAGGGACTTGCGAAACCAATAAAGATCAGCCCAACTCGCGGTGTTTTTATTCGTTTACTGAAGATGTGCGCTACGAGAGCTTTCATCATATATATATATATGTATTCCTGGTTAGTCCAGTCGATCTGGGAATGCCGATCTGTCCGAATCTCGAGAACTATGCGGATTAGAGTCTTAAAATTTGAAATGTAGCTCCTCCTAAATGCCGCACAACGATAATTCATTTTAAACATATCTCTCAGCTAACGTGAGCTAGAGTCTTCCGTCGAGAACTTCCTTGGGAAAACCGGCCCTGGAATTGCACCCATATAAGTCTTTAGGTTAACTTTTCTCCGTCTCTGTTGTTCGGGTTGGTCTCGATTGCGTTATGAATAAATCGTAAATATTTCTAATTCTCAGATAATAAACAAAATGCTGTCGTGCGAAATGGCAAAAATGCTGAGAATGACAGTAAGTGTGCCCCAAAAACACAGCCCCAAATAAAACTAACCCCCCCCAAACACAAAGCTAACAAAACCCAACTAAAAGAAAATAATCAAAAGCATGTTTATTTTATTCACTAATCAACTAAAATCCAAGATCAAATAGAAATTTAAAAGATCTCAGGCTAGAAATCCAAGTCGCATCACATTCCCAGGGCAAATATTTTTTTTAAACCCGACCCGCCCGTCTTTTTAAAATTTGTCCAAACTATGCATGCAGTGTTGACTAATTTGCTAAAAACTATGTTTTCTCTCTCTCTCTCTTTTTCGTCTGTTCTCTCTCCTCCTCTCTCTCTCTCTCTCTCTCTCTCTCTGCTCTCTTGTAGTTATTGTTATTGGGGAGCCTGACTATGATCAAGAGATTGACACTAGATTCTTAGTAGCCGCCTCCACGGTATTTTTGTCCATGTCGTTGAAAATCATAACCGAAATTGTTGAATACATTAGAAGAAATCCAGAGATCGTAGGCATTATCGATAGGGAAATCAACAAGCTAATGGTAAGCGATGCACATTCAAAAATCATCCCTAATCTCTAATATATGTAATTGTCATAATTGTGTACTAATTAACGGTGTCTTGCATGCCGCTTATAATTCGCAACTAGTTCAAGCTTAAGCTAATAGCGTTGCCAGATCGAACGCAAAACTAGATGTCATTAACTGTAAATCGTAGACATTTTGAATATATTTATTAATGGTTTATTATCGTTATGCTTTGCCCTTGCAGTGCCAGTTCCCGCCAGCGAGGACCCAGTACTACACACAGTCCAGACCGTGGGCCGCTTATCCAATAAGATCTCGCGTCGCGTCTATAGAAATGTCTCCAGACAGATCAAGCAGGTCCAACAGGGCAACATCAACGACTATCTGAGCTCATTGATAGCCGCCCTCAAGCTGCATCAGTACATCAACTTTATCAACTCATCGATGGGCACAAATGTCGAGCAGTCCACGTTAGCCAGCGACAACTGTACACCCTACGGGCCCACCAACAGCAACAGCAGCAGCAGCAGCAACAACATCATCATCAGCAGCAGCAGCAGCAGCAGCGCCAACACCAAAGCAGCGGCCAGCAGCGGCAACAGCAATGCCAAGAGCAAAGTGAGCACAGTGAGCACAGTTGCGCCATCTACCGGACAATAAATGTGCAGCTGCACGCGTTGGGTTGGTTGGGTGGGGCGCCCCTTTTAGATCAGGGTCAGAAGTTTTCCAATTGGAAAAACACCTCTCACTCTCCCGAAAAAAACCCCAACCTGTTTGCCTCTCAAGCGCTGCTCAGTTTCTTATGTAGTTTTATTTTTATGCCCATTATTTTTTTTGCAATTCTTTTTTTTTTTTTTTCGTTTTTAAGAAAGTGGCCTCAGCAGCCCGCCGCCCTGCCCCCTACCCCCACACACCAACACACCAACAAACACACACTCGCAACACACCCAAGCGTTTGCTTTGTAAATATTTATTTGAAGTAACACACACACACACACACACACTTGCATACACACACATATATACACATATTGATATAAGTTGTAGTTGTTAAAGATTTTAAACATTTTTTTTTAGCTGTGCTAAATCTAAAAACGCCACCTGGCGGCCATGTGCCACACATGCATTGAATGGAGAATATAACAAAACAAAACAAAACAAAATTCTGATCAGAAACCATGCTAAAGGCATACACATGTATACCCCAAACACATACACCCCCACCTCTCCCCCCCCCACACGCAAGCCCAACACCGTAAACGTTATACTAATTAATGATATCGTATATCGTAAAAAGAAACACTGAATTATAGTTATGTAGCTAGAGCGAGATAGAAAGAGTTAAAGAGAGAGAGAGACAGATCGCCGTTTATGTTGTATGCTTAATGAAACATATATTTATATATATACATATATACAAATATATATACACATATGTAATACTGATGTTTTAACTATGCTTAAAATATGTAACATTATCTTAGCTGATGAATTATGCTTTAAATATATGAAAAACTTATACACACACACACACACATATATATATATAACAAATACTTTTGCTCTAACAAAAACCAACACACACACACACACAACTAAATGGAAAAGTAATCATAATAAAAATGAGAAATGAACAAAAAAAAAAAAGGCAATAAATAAATATAATTGTGAATTATGAACGTTGCGCGCAGATAAGTTCATGACGGGCGACTTAAAAAAACATCAGACAAATGGCATTAAATTTGATTTCAGATCGAAAGCCCACTCGACAGATAAACAAGTACATATACATATATATATATATACATATATGTATGTGTATGTGTATATATATATGTGGCCCAATTTCACTGTTCCATTTCCTATGCCAAAGTTGCCGCCGACATTTTCACAGCGATAAGAACGGCTCGGCCGGCAAGAAATACCCGTTAAAATGCCCACATACATACACACGTACACCTACATATATATATACATACATATATACCTATATATATATCGTATATCGTATATCGTATATATCGTGTGCACTCGTCGTGGCTTGGCCTGCTTATAAGAACTTATCTTATCCTTGGTTTTGGTTCATGGCTGGTTCCGTGGTTCCTTGGTTCGGTTCACGTTTCGAACCAGTTCCATGCCTTAAAGGTTTCAATTGAGTTATATAGTTTCTAATATTAGTTAGTTATAAAAAGAAATAAGAGTGTAATATATATATATATATATGTATATATATATATTTGATAGCCTTGTAGACATTTCCCTCTTGCAGATTGCACATTATTTTGCCATATCCAAATCCAACTATGAGCAATACTTTCCCAATTAACTCGGCTGTTTGGAGTGATATCTTTGTAAAATTCTTAAGGCTTAATTGGGGCACAGTAAAGTTTGTACATCCGAAAGCCCAAGGCGCTAGCTCGCATAGTTCTCGAGTTATGCCCAAAAGAGCAACGCGCCAAATCGATAGTTATCGATTTTGAGAAACTATTCAAAGTTATCGAAAGCAAATATTAATAAATCGTTGCATGCTCAGCTGCTTTTATGAGCGCACTCGAGTATATATTCAAGTAAATGCAATTTGATTAGAAATCAAGAAATATGACATCCTTTATCAGGCTTATCAGGCAACCGAGGTTCTTCGATAGGGAGGGGGGCTTTACTTTCGTAATTAGCGTGTGCCCTAAATCACAGAGATAACATATTGCCGAGCTTTATATTTATATAGAGGATCGCAAAATTGGAGGAAATTCCAGACGGAGCATGCCAGAGATTTATTATTCCGTTTCGGTTTAGGGTATTCTTTAAGCTTTACCTCCACAGAGATACCATAGCATATATATATATATTTACTTAAATAGATATCTGTTAGTTTTGATTGACTGATTGACTAGTTGATTGATGGAAAGAGTTTTGTATGTCCTGACTGTCTGGCTGATTGAATGAGTGACTGAGTGACTGACCTGGGCTGACTGATTGATCACTGAATAGCCTACTGAGTGATTGACTGATTGATTGGCTGGCTAACTGATCGACTAGCTGATTGACGGCCTGTTTGTCCCGACTAACTTGTGACTAAATAATCGCTTGTCTGTCTGATTGGCTGATTGACCAATTGCTTTTCCCAATTGCTTGACTGACTAGTTGATTGACTAACTAACTGATCGACTGATCGACTAGCTGACTGACGGACTCCCTGTCCCCACTAACTTGTGTGTATTCCGACTAATTGACTGCTTGACTGGCTGACTGAATGACTTAGTAATTACTTGATTAATTGATTGACTGACTGACTGATTTATTTTCCTGATTGATTGACTTCTGACCAGCTGACTGTGGTACTATTTTGCCAAACTATTTGATTAAATGACTTGCTGGTGAACTTAATGATTGACTGACTAATTGTCTCAATGATTGGCTGAGTGATTGATTGACTGACTGACTGAGTATTGGATTGTTCTGACAAAGCAATTGACTGACTGACTGACTGCTTAGCTGATTGACAGACTGATTGATTAAATTATTGACCGGCTGAGTAATTGTTTGGCTGCTCAATTAACTGATTGACTGACAGATTAAGTGACTGATAATTCACTGTTTGTCGGGATCAATTCATTGACTGATTAAGTTCCTGATTGATATTTTGAGTGGCTGAGTTATTGATTGACTGACCAATTGACAGACTGACTGATTGATTGGCTGACTAGCTAAGTAATTGATTGACTGCAGGATTAACTGATTGACAGCTTAGCTGACTGCCTAACTGACTAATTCACTAATTGATCAAATATTTGTCCCGACCAATTGGCATACTGATTTACAGACTGACTGATTGACTACTTGATTGACTAACTTATTGACAAAATGATTGATTAAGTGACTAATTTACTTTTAGCTAGACGCAAAGTAATTGATTTACATACTGATTGACTAACTAACTGAATGACTGATTAAGTAACTAATTGATGATTGACTGTTTATCCTAGGTAATCGATTGACTGACTGATTAACTGACCAACCGGCTAAGTGATTGATTGACTGCCTAGTTGACTGATTGACTACTTAACTGACTGGTTAACTCGCTGATTGACGAACTGTTTGTGCTGACTAAGTGATTGCCCGACTGACCGACTGATTGACTGATCCACAAAGTGATTGATTGACTGCCTATTTGACTGATTGACTACTTAACTGACTGGTTAACTCGCTGATTGACGAACTGTTTGTGCTGACTAAGTGATTGACCGACTGACTGACTAAGTGATTGACCGACTGATTGACAAAGTGATTTATTGACTCACTGAGCTAAGAAGCTGACAGAAACTTTATCTTTTGGAAAATGCACACACACGCACACACACACAGACATGGAGACACACACAAGTACATCTAGATGTAGAGCTGTCAGCCGCATGACGCGCAAAATGTGTTCAATTTGTTGTGTTCCGTTGTTTTGCTCGTGATTAAATTGGACGGCTGCGAATCGGTTTCTTATCAGGAACTCACCTGGTGCCGGCTGCCGGAGTGCCAATTGAATATGAAGTTCAACAATTGTGTTTCGTCGCGTAGGGCCCTATTTATAGAGCGGGGCCTTAGATAGCGCCGAATGGGCCCAATATTCGACCGCTGGCTGACTCCTTAAATGCCAAAGAATTTCGAATATGTCGATAATGAGCCTGAGCGAAGTTTCCATTTGCCAGTTGCCAGTTGCCAGTTTCGCTTTCGCTCATTTATATGCCCGACAGCATTTTGGGATGCCTTTCGGGCTCCAGACTCGGCTGTTCAATAATTATGGCGAGGTACGTAACAACTGACCAAAAGCGGACGATCGGGCCAGACTGATCAGATTCTTAAATGTGGCATACCGCATACCCTGTACATTCTGTGCACCTCAACGTTGGGTATGCACACTTTTCGGGCTCTCGCATGTAACACATTGGGAAAAAAAAAACAAAACAATTATTTTCGTTCTTTTTCCTTTTTTTTGCCGTGCCGTATTTAAAAAAAGATCGGACTTCAAGCTCCGAAGCTAATCAAAATTGCCTTAACATCGATACATAAACATTATATTAAACTAAAATTTCTGATATCTTATTATATTTGAAGGACTAGCTGATAAGGAGGCCATATTTCAAACAGATCGGACTTCAAGCTCCGAAGTTCAACCAAGATAACGTAAGATGAGGTGGATATTTAAAATCGGATTATGTTTTAAAGCTTTCAAACAGATTTGACTCTATTTAATTACTTTTTAATTATATTTTTAAAAAGAAATCGGACTCTAAGATCCGAAGTTTATCAAGCTAAGCCGAAAAGAAATAGATATCTCCCTATAATTTAAAGGCCAGCTCATACAGAGTTGTCTTTTTTTTTTGTCCTGAGTTAATATTTAAAAGAAAAATTATATTTCAAGACTTACCTCCTTTTCTTTTGCCCTGAGCCCATATACAAAAAAGATCGGACTCTAAGCACCGAAATTGATCAAGTTTGCATTTCGCAACGTGGCCAGGGCATCTTCTAGTCGTGCACACCCGCCCGGAGCACTCTTGCTTTTTTTTGCATATTTTTTTTTTTTTTGCCTCGCAATGCTTGACTGGGAAGTTCTGGCAGAGCGGGTTTCCGACCCGCAGTTGGACTTTAATTTCGTTTTAGGATCATGATGAGCTTGATTACGATGATGATGAGGAGGAGGAGGAGGAGGAGGAAGAGGTGGATGATAAGGGGGCTGAGCGTATTTCCATATCTCAAGTATAACAGGGAGCTGCTTTGAAGTGGACTTTGCGCCCTATACAAGCCCCACCCCCCTCTGCGGCACGCCGCTGCTTTTGACGACGTCAGCGTCTGAAGTCTTTCAAGCTGCCTGCTGGCAGGCGGAAATGGGCAAGGGGGGGGGGGGGGGGGAGGGCGACTCAGTTGGCAACGCAGACGACGCAGATTTCTTATCGGCGCCTCATAAAATACAAAAAAGAAACATGCTCAAACCTCGAAGCGTGGAATCTAATACGCACACACACACACACGCATTCGTATAAAGACAAAGAGAGAGAGAGAGAGAGAGAGAGAGAGAGAGCGCAGAGCAAGTGCAGCCGCGATAAGGCATCAGGATGAGGCTGAACCAGTGCGATGGGCGTTAAGCGCAACGGAAGAGGGCGTGGCCCGCCGCAACGCAATCAACTGTCGACTGCGACGCGTCGTCTCAAGTGCCAAAGTACAGCAAGTGGCGTGATTATTATTATTCTCTTTATTATTATTATGCCCACACAAACGCACACATGCGCCGCTATGTGTGCGTGTGCGTGTGTGTGTGCATGTGATCTGGTTTTTTGGTGTTGTAATTGGCTGCAGTCTGCGATAAGTGAGTGGCACCGCGGGATGCGCACAATCTGATTTAGCGCAGGCAACAACCCAGCGCGACTCACAACGAAGCACATCGCTCTCAAACCTTTCACAAGTGTTTTCCCATGTAGCCGTTGCAGCAACCTCGATCGCTGCGGTTGGCGTCCAAGCTGCCCTTACCGCCCTCTATTGGACTTCAGTTTTTCAAGTCCCTAGCAAAAGGTTAATTGCTGTCAAACGGACAAATAGGCATTGCACAAAACAAATCGACTCTGTTCGCCATAGGAACAGGGTATAGTATCATGTGCTGTAACTATCTCGGCGCATCCAATCGGGTAGCTAAGCGGATTGTCGCAACATTTCATCAATATGGTTGGCCACATTGGCCAATTGGCAATTGTTGCCAATCAATTTGTTTAAATACCGTTTTGAGCGCTCGGACGGTTTGCCGCTGGGCGGCGTTATGCTTAAACCAACTGCCTGCCGAACAAAGCAGTGCGAGTTCAAATCCAGCGCAAGATTTTTTTTTTTGTTTTTTTTTTTTTTTTTAATATTAAAAGTAGTTTAAGATATACTTTTTCCTATATCATAGGTAAAACGAGTTTTTATTTTATTTTTCGATACCTACTCACGTTTCTAATATATCGATAAAAATCGATCTGTGCCTGTGCATTACGTGTGTATCGATAACTTGCTCCGTTTCTAAGTAATCGATAAGAATCGATATAAAATTTCGATTATTTGAGCATATCCGAATCAAGTATATATCTTTGCTAAAGCTGAAAGCTGGTCTGAAAAAGATGCAGAGTACTTTTATATATTTAAATAATATGCTTTTGCTTTTGTTGTCGTTTATTTTAATCAACGATATTTTCTTTTATTTTTGATTAAAATTACACTTATATTGCAGCTGTTCCTTCCACACAGAATCACTCACATCTTTCGTATAACACAATAGAATTAAGAAACCAGGTTCTTTTTTTCAATAACATTTCATTTAAAACTTATATTTATATAAATTAGCTGCACCTTGCAGTGTTTGCGGTTAAATTAAATTAAATTAATCAAAAAAAAAGAGAAAACAAACATTTTCATTGGACAAAACTTTGCTTAAGCCCGCAAATTGTTTGTTTTTTGCACATTCTTTAATAAATTAATTTTGTAATTTACATTTGTCAGAAACCAAAAAAAAAAATGTTTCATTATTTTCACAAAAATTGCCTTACAAGTTTCAGTTTATCGTAAAATTGGCAGCCGAAACTCGAACTTGGGTTGCCTCTCTATTCGATTCTCAAAGTTGACACGTTTCTGTTTCGCCTTATCTCTTTCGTGTTGCTCAAATTATTTCGATTTGAGATTTATTGAAAAGCGTTTTTTAGACTGCGTGTAAATATATATATATATGTAGATTATTTAACTATGTTAAGAATTTGCTTTAAGAACTTAGCACATTTTCGCAGGTGGATCAATATGTAGAACCAACAACTAAATACAGTCGAGTTACGGATAGTACAGGTATGTATATATATATATATATGTATATATGTATGTATGTAGTTTAAGTTAAATATGGTGGACTTTATGTTAATACAGTTGTTAATTGTTTCTTACTTAATTTATTAAGGTTATGTTTCATAGAAATAATTATATATTTGATGTTTAATATTGCTTATCGAATAGCAGCTGTCAGTTGTTGTTGTTATCAGTTGTTGTTGTTGTTGTTGTTGTTCTTCTTGTTGCTGTTGTTGTTGTTAAGGGTGCGTGGGCGTGGTTATATTGGCCCGATATAGCTAGCTATTAGTTCGTTCGTTTTTCCTTTAACGTTGGCTTTTCTTTGCTTTCTCTTTTATCACAGACGCCCCTCCTCCTCTTCGCACGCAGCCCACAAACGTATGTGTGTGTGTGGTGTGTGTGGTGTGTGTGTGTGTGTGTGTGTGTGTTGGGGGCTTTATTTTAGGCTTAGTTTAGCACTTGACACTAGTTAAGGACTTGCGCAGGATTTGTGCCAGAGTTTAGCGAGTCATAACAAATGTTGTTCTCGTTGTTGTTGTTTTCTGCTGCTGTTGTTGTTGTTGTTGTGGCTCGTTTTCGCGAGTGGATTTTGGGCTTTAGCTAGTTAATGCATCAACATTTGCGCTTCCAACGCACTCTCTCTCGCTCTCGCTCGCTCTTCTATTGCTGGCTCGCTCTAAGGCTTGGCCGTTTGGGCCAGGCCAGCAGAAGTCGCTGCCAGGCTATTGTTGTTGCTGCTGCTGCTGCTGTTGCTGCTGCTGTTGCTGCTGCTGCTGTTGCTGCTGCTGCTGCTGGCGGCGGCGGCATTGTTGGCATCGAGCGCGGGCTGCTTGCCATTGAGCAGCTGCGTAAAGTATTCGCCAAAGACGGCGTGATTGTAGCCGACCAGACGTCGAAACGAGGCTATAAAGGCGACCAGCTCCTCCTCAAAGTCAGCAAAGCCGGCGGGCGGCGGCGGTATGTTGCCGTTCGAGCGCAGCGCGACGCGCACAAAGCCATCCAGGCGGTTGGCTAAAAGTTGGAGGCCAATTGAGTTAATAAGCATACAAATGTCTATCTTCGACTAGGCCGAAAATTGTTTAAACTCGCAGAAGCAACAACCCTACAAAGCCGATAAGAAAGGTCGCTGGTTCGAATCAGCTCCGTGCCTTGAAGTTCGATTCGTTTACACATTCTTAAACTCAGCTTTTGGTTTTGACTTTCGATTTCTGCTATATGTTCAACATTTTTATGCAACTACCTTTCAGTTCGCTTTGGTTCACGGTTCGAACCAGCGCCCCGCCTAGAACTTTCAGTTCGTGTTCTACACACTCTTAAGCTCAGCTTTTGGGTTTTTTCTATAGATCGTACGAAATTGAAATGAAACGTTTTACTAAAAATAATATTTGAAGACCGTAAATACTTATTCACGGTTCGAACCAGCGCCCTGCCTTGCATTTTTTTTTTTCGTGAACCCAGTTTTACACATTCTTAAACTTCGGTTTTTGGTTATTCCTACAATATGTTTATGGAACGTAATGAAACGTTCTACTGAAAAGCCGTAAATACATTCATTCGGTTCGGTTTATGGTTTGAACCAGCACCCTCCCTGTCGTGGAGCTTTAGTTCGTTAACCCGATTTTGCACATACTTCAAGTCAGGTTTTTGCTTTTTCCTACAGTATGCTTAAAATTTAAATGAAACGTTCTACTGAAAGCCCGTAAATACATTCATTTGTTTCGGTTCACGGTTTGAACCAGCACCCTCCCCGCCTAGAACTTTAGTGCGTTAATCCTTTTTTTAACATACTTAAAATCAGGTTTTGGGCATTTCCTACAATATGATCCAAATTGTAATGAAAAGTTCGACCAAAAATAGTATTGGAGGAAAGAGAGAGTAGCTCCCATGGAAACAGACAGACAGATGGACGTGGCTATATCGACTCCGCATCTATATAGTTTATGGATCTACGGCTAAGCGTTGCTTATTGCGCGACATAGGCGAAGCAATCCCCGGCCAGGGCACAATGGGAATTTCTTGTTTACCCATGAGAGTGCGCACGGGCGACGTCTTGTTGACCAGTTGCTGGACTTGGCTCTGGATCTGCGCCTGCTGCGGCTCGCTGAGCGGAGGCAGCTGCTCGATTTCCAGCGCTTTGTTAATGAAGGCGCGTATCTGCTCGTAGCAGCCGTCGAGGGCGGCGCTCAGTTGGCTAGAAAAGGGCGAGACAAGGGCAAGAGGCCTGCGTGAAGGAGACAGCAACTGGGCCAATATCGGGCGTAGTACTCACTCCTGCTGCTTGACGTCCTGGACCAGTATGTCCAGCTGCTGGGCCAGCTTGATCCGATTTTCGCGTCGCTGCGATATGACCGGCACGCCCTGTGCTATCGAGATGAGCGAGGCGCATAGAATGAGCCGCTGGCCACGCCAGCTGAGTCCGCCGAAGCGTTCCTTATCGATGCTCAACAGCTCCGGAAACTCCTTGTCCGCCGGATAGTTGAGCAGCTGCCTGAACGCACTGAAGATGATGTCATCATTGCTGCTGCAGCCGGCGCGATGTCGCTGCAGCCAATCCTCAGTGGCCGGAAAGCCAACTGCAAACAAGAAATACATTATTTTTCTATGGAATTGTTTGAGTGATTGACTCATTTCTGAGTGTCCTGACTCTTTGACTAACTGATTGATTGACTGATTGACTCATTTCTGTTTGACTAACTGATTGACGGACTAATTGATTGACTGATTGACTCATTTTAGTGGATCCGGACTGTTTTGAGTAGTAACTGATTGACTGGCGAATTAACTCATTTTTGTTTGACTAAATGATTGACTAGTTAATTGAGTGATTGACTCATTGTCGGTCCTGACTGCATGAAAGAATAACTGATTGAAAAATTGACTGTCTAACTGATTGATCGAGTGATTGACTTATTTCTGTTTGACTATCAGGTTGACTGACTCATTGATTGACTGATTGACTCATTTTTATGGGTCCTGACTGCTTGACCTTGACTGATTTACTTGTTTTTGTAGGCCCTGACTGCATGAAAGACCAACTGATTGAATAACTGACTGTCTTAACTGATTGAGCGAGTGATTGACTCATTTTTGCGTGACTTGACTGTTTGGACTAGTGATTGATTGATCGATTGACTAATTTTTATGTGTCTTGACTAAGGGATTGACTTATTTTTGTAGGTCCTGACTGCTTGACAGACTGATTGACAGAGTGATTGATTCATTTGAGTTTGTCTCGACTGCTTGACAGACTAACTGATTGACTCATTTTTGTGAATCTTGACTTCTTACTGTCTTTCTCTCTCCCTCTATCTCTTTCCCTCTCTCTCTATCTTTTACTCCCTTTCACATGGTATACGCACCACTTCCGTGAAATTCGCGCAAATATGTGCTAAACTTTCGCTTCTCATATTCGACAGAGTTGGCCGCAATATCGTTGCGTGCCGCGGACACCATAAAGTTGGCCATGTCCAGCTTCATCAGGGACATGGTCTCCAGGATGCCCCGGAATGTATCGATAACATCGTCGATTTCGCGCAGCTTGGCCACCGTCTCGTCGCGTGCCGGCGCGCACATGCTCGCCAGCAGCTGGATGACAAAATTGGCGTATGATCGAAAGTCGAGGGTGCCTTGCTCCGCCTGCTGCCGGATTAGAGCCTCGTCCAGGGTTGCATTGATGCGGCTCAGGGCATTCGCATTGTTCGGCGAGAGCAGCTGCGGAAAATCCTCCTTGATCTCGCCCAGCAGCCGTATGGCCTGATCATAGGAGGGCGGATCACGTTCCAGTTGCTCGCGCAGCAAATTCCAAAAGGCCTTGTGCACCATGGCCTTGATGCGACCCTCTAGGCTGTCAGGTTTGAGAAGCATGAGTGTGAGAGAGAGAGAGAGAGAGAGTATGACTCACCTGTCTAGAGGCGGCTCGTATGGCTGCAGCTTGAACTCCGGATTAAGTGCTATCTCATGCGCCAGCTCCATGTTCTTGAGATCCTTCAGCATGCCGGCCACCTCGTCCATGGTGACCACCTTCGGCGGACTGCCATCGAGGCTGGGCAGCACAAAGCGCATCGTGCTGTCCGTGGAGCTCTCGCTGTCCGTGCGCATTGGCACATCCGTGTTCCGAGCTTCCTGCTGTTTGTTGTCCTCCTTGGCGTCCATTTTTGTGTTTGTTTGATTGGAAATTTTGCGGTTTTCCAATTGGAATTGTGCTGATTGGCTTTTCGTTTGCAGCACTTTGATGTTGCTGCTCTTAAGTTGTTTCTTTCGTGCAACTGGTTTTCTGCAAATATGGAAATGCAAGCGTGTTTTTCCTTATTCGTTGCAATTGCGTATTTGCTTCCGCGAGCAAAAGGAAGAACAAAGAGCTTTCCAAAGCGGGCTGAGCTCAACTTTGTTTCAGGGTCAGCTGCGGCGAAGGCTGACGAAATGCGACGTTCAAAATGAATGCAAGCCAATAACCGTTAAATGTGCGAGTGCGAGTGTGTGTGCGTGCGAGTGAGAGACAACAAAGAAGCAACAAAAACAGTTACAAAGCAAGCAACCACCTTACACACACGCACACACACACACACACATATAGCAAAGGGGAGAAAAGCTGCTAAAAAAAACTCTAGCCTAGATAAAACGAGATAAATGTACAGAAATATGTACAAGTAAATACATACATACATATATATATAAATTTCTTGCAATTTAAATTTGTGGCGGCTGACACAGTTTCCAAAATTAACGCGGAAAAGCGTAGAGCATTGCACAACGGCTAACGCGCAGCGAAGTGGCGACATAAACAAAGAGGCGCTAATAAAGCAGCCTATGAAAACAGAAACGCAGAGAATTCGTTTATTGCGCAGCAGCTGTGTGTGCGTGTGCATGTGTGTACGTATATATGTTTATACATGTGTATACATATATGCAGAGAATATTGTGAAATGGACACAAGGACGTAGCGATTGGGTGGCTGGGCATAGGGGGATGGGTCACTAATTGTAACACTTAGAAAATGCACACAGAATGCGAACAATAAAAATACTGAACAGACCAATTAGGACTTACCACCGTTAGGAATGGAATTCTTCAAAAATTATATTGCTTGAATAGAACTTGCACGTTTAATTTAATATTGTTATTTGAAATTTTTTTTTTTAAACACGTTTTTCACAATTTTAAAGCATTTTATTTTGCCCGTACGCTGGTCGCGCTTACGACGTCCAAATTGTAATGTGAGTAATAATGTTATGAATGTACAAATTTCAAATTGAACTAACGCAGGCCACCTTTGTTTGTTGTGCTTGCTCTGTTGTGTTGTTATTGTTGTTGTTGTTGCTTGCAGATGTTCCACAATATTCGAGAATAAAGCGCATATGCAGCTCACTGCATGAAATGGGCAAGCAAAATTGATCAGCTTCAGGCTTAAAAGTTGTTGCTATGTGCAATTTAATTATTAATTATTAATTATTTAACTCTTTAAACAGCTGTTCGTTAACTGACTGCGACGCACACACAATTGTTATGGCTTTTTCGAATAAATGCTGTAACGCTTAAGTTTTGTATGTTGGCTTGCTTTGTTCGCTGTCTCTGGTTAGCAGTATACCAGGCTGACATACGCGGCGTTGCCATATCGCCAAAACAAGACATAAACAGTCTGGCAGAAGCAAAGCGCATTGTTCGACAGTGTGGCAGCACCATTAACTAAACATCAGACACCAGACAGACACAATAGTATAGAAGAATTTTAGGTTTTTTTTTCAGGCTAATGTTAATTTTATTATAGATAAAGAACAGCTGCGGTAACAAAGAGACACACACAGACATCACACACTAACACACACACACACACACACCCACACTGACACAAAACACGAAAAAGAAGTCGAACAAGAACTATAATTCGCCAAGTGTTGTGTGTTTGTTGTTAATGCCAATCGATGTTGTAGTACCAGCACCAGTGTGTGTGTGCAACGCCCGCCCCCCTCCCCATAGCCCAGAACACAGACCTCCCGCACAACATGGAAAGTGAGAAGATTTTGATGGCCGCCGGTGTTACGGTCGCCGCCGTTGTCGGTGCATTTGTCTTCTGGGGACCATCGGGTAAGTGCATCCAAAACACACTGTTGTGCAACACTGGCCACTCACACGCACGCAGGTTCCCGCTTGCGTCAGCGTCGCGGCCAAATCGCCGGACTTCACAATTTTGGACGCACCTGTTTCCTAAATACGCTGCTTCAGGCGCTGGCTGCCTGTCCGCAGTTTATTGCCTGGCTGCAGCTATACAATGGCGCCACGCCGGATCGCAAGAGCCTGATTAGCTCAATGCTGAGCACCTTGGAGGTGGTTAATGGCACGCATGCGACGCTGCGCGGTGATCCACATTCGCCGGGCGCTGTGCTGCGCGCCTTGAACACATTGGGCTGGGTCATACCGCAGGAGGAGCATGATGCACATGAGCTGTTCCATGTGCTGCTCTCATCGCTGGAGGAGGAGGCAACACGGCCGCAACAAGTGGGCTGCCTGTCGGACGCACTGCTGCCCGTTGCCGCTGGCATCAATCCGAGCAACGGCAATGGCAATGACACCGGAGATGGTTTTGGTGCTGCGACAGCGGCAGCTGCTGCTTACCGCACATGCAACATGGCCGGTGTCCAGCAGCGCATTGGTGATCAGCCGAATCGGCCATCGAGTGCCATGCTCTCGGATTTTCTGAATATGGAATACGATGAGTCGACCAGCCTGCAGCGTCTGGTGCGCTCCGAGGCGCACACGCCCGACTCGCCGGCCTCGGTTTGCGAACGCGAAACGGCCGAGATAATGACGCCATCTGGTGGTGCCTCGTATCTGGCCCATTCGCCGTTTAGCTATCAATCGGCCATGGAGTTTATGGAGCCGCAAACGCAGCCGCTGCCCGCTTCACCCGTACTGGGCGGCGAGCGCTTGTCGCGTCCGCGCCAGACTCAGCCCCAGGAGCTGCTGCAGGAAAACCACAGCGAACGGCTCAGTCGACGCGCTTCCAGCTCGTGCCGCTCGCTGGAGCGTCTCAATCGCGGACCCGGACGCGTCTCCATCTGGTCCAGCATGATGCCCAGCCAGGTGGCGCATCCGTTTCAAGGCGCCATGGGCGCCCAAATTGTCTGCAATGGCTGCGGCTCCAAATCGGCCGTGCGCTACGACAAATTCGACAGCGTCACCTTAAATTTGCCGGCACAGCGACGCACCGGCCTGAGCCTGGGCCATTTGCTGAGCGAATATATCACCTCCGAGGATCTGAGCGATGTCAAGTGCGATTCGTGCAATGAGACGACCATGCACACCAAATCCGTGACATTCGCCAAGCTGCCGGCCTGCCTCTGCATACACATCGCACGCACCGTTTGGCTGCCCACCGGACAGGTGTGCAAGCGCCAGGACTATGTCCACTTCCCGGAGAGCCTCTCCATGGCGCCCTACAGCTTTGTCCAGCCCCATCTCAACAGTCAGGTGAGTGTGAGCGAACATTTAGAAAGATTTAAAGATTGGTCAGAATCAATAGTCAATCCGTCCATATGCATTAAGGCATCGATCCTTATAGATTCCTTTCCATATTATAGATAGATCCCTTTCAATAATATCGTTCAAAAAAACTATTTCACATTTGGATATCTACCTATTCCTATACTCCTTAAATTGGAAACAATTCAAAACCTAAACATATTCCTTATTTAAGCTACGAAAATTGCAAAAAGATCGGACTATAAGTGCCGAAGTTATTCAAGATTGCATTTCGCAAAAGGGAAAGGGAATAGTTTGTACTTTAACTTGTCGCTGGGTTCATCCTGTTACATCCCAGCCGAGCAGTATCCAAATATTTTGGTATTCCACATTATAAACTCCGATCATTTTTCAAAAGATCGGACTATAAGAGCCGAAGTTATTGAAGATTGTTGGCTGGGTTCATTTTGTTACATCCCAGCTGAGCACTTGCGACAAATGTTAAGAAATGTTTGTGATTTCTCCGCAGGCGGGCACTCCTTGGGGCTCGACCATGTCGTTGTACTCGACCAGCCTGCCGATGAACAATGGCGGCGGCGCCGGCGGCGAGGGCTTCGGCGCGATGTTTCCCAAAAATCTATACCGCCTGCTGGCGGTTGTGGTGCACTCGGGTGAGGCAAACAGCGGACATTTTGTTACCTATCGACGTGGTTCGCTGCGCAATGCGCATCGGTGAGTGTCACGCTGGCGTTGATTCAATCATTTTCTAATCCAAATCCAAATCCCCATTTTACAGATGGTTTTACACGTCGGACACGATTGTGCGCGAGGTATCCATTGATGAGGTGCTCAGCGTGCCCGCCTATTTGCTCTTCTATGATCGCGGCCAGCAGCGACAGCTCCAAATGCGCTGACTTTCCTCATCGGACACCAATCCTCCAACCCCGCTCACCCCGCTCACCCCATCCCCCTCTAGTCGGCCTAGTCATTATTTGTTTTCTCTCTCTCTCTCTCAACGTTGTGTTGGAAACTCAGATTATTATATGATATAATAATTAAAACGGTGGCCATAGAATCCTATTCCAACAAAAAAAAAAAAAGAACAAAAAACAAAAACAAAAAGAAAAGCCTTTTAAGGAACTGCAAAGAAAACGGTCTCAGCAAGCACCAAAAAACACACACACACACACACACACTCACACACACACCTGCGTTAATTTAAGGGCAGGCCTTATATGCATACAATAGCTGCAACTTATCATACATATATATATATATATATAGAATTTTGTTACATCAATGCATTTAAAAATTTTTAAATTGAATTTGAATTGAAAATTCACGTCATGTGCTTTTTAGATGTCTGTATTTAGCGATATAGATTCAAAAACCAAAAACCAAAAATAATTGTGCTAGGGGTATTACCGAAAGCATGAATCGATAATAAGTGTACTGTTCTTTTCTTTTTTTTTTTTAACATCTGTTCCAATCTGTTATATAGATGTACTTCCCGCTCCTAATTTGTTTGGGGGTCAGAATTCGTGGATCGATCGTTACGTTATAATCGATCGCTATTTGCATTTATCGCTTATCGTGTTGCAAACAGAATACCCTTGCTCCCCCCAATGACAACTATGTACATGATATATCATTAACTAACAATCGCCCAAAACAATAATTCTCTACGTTAAACGCTATATTAATAAAGTTCGGATAGATGTTTAAATACAATCTAATTTTGTTTAATTATTTACTTAAAAAAAAAAAAACAACAAATTTTTGTAAGCTTTTTATAAACAATTACATTAAGTTTACGTATTTAAAAGAATTTTCAAAAATGTAGTCCGTTTTTTTTAAGTGCTTGCTGCTTTACACGGTTGCACGGAAAGTTTCATAGCAAACAGCAATTTAGGGCGATCAGGCGAAGAAATACTAAAATATGTACAAAGGCACGCCCAAAAAAAAAACTGTTAGAAAGCCGATCGGGTAATGGCATTTTTGCATGTCTACTTACTAAGGGTAATTTCTTCAGATTTAGCGATTGCAAAGGGCTTTTTAATTCTCTTTTTTGAGTATATCTAACCATTTCCTTCATGGAAAATTTTACAAAACACAATTTAAGCGCCCCTTCCATACAATTAACTGTGAATACAATTTAAATTGTACAGTGCCCTTTTGAGTTTAACATAATGTTAGTGGGCTGCAACTAAGTCAACCTGAGCGTATTTGCCAGTGGCCACTAAACTGGTAGATCAACGCATATTATTTGTGCTGTATTTTGAGAATTTTATATTATAACTGAACTCCGATTAGGTTTTACAACAGTTTTACATTTATATCGCCTATCGATATATATTTCACACTAGTGTGTACACACTGGCGCTCGCCATATGCCTGCTCGCACTTGTGTGTGTGAGATTCGAAATTCAAAAAGCAAGCATCGGCACAAGCAATGCGTGTGCAGAACTATGTCAAGCAATAACAGTACAAATAGAAAGCAATATAATGATAGAAAAATACAGCACACATCGCGCATTACGCCCAAAATAAGAGAATATCTGGCTGAGATGGCCAACGAGCGCGAACTGGAGCTGCAACGCTTCATGGCATTATCATCGACATCACCCGCCAGCAGCAGCATCAGCGTCGGCGCGCACAGCAGCAGCGGCGGTGGCGGCGTCGGCGCCTGCGCCGGCAGCGGCAGCGGCAGCATGGGGGTTGCAACAGCTGCCTGCGCAGCTGCCATGGCCTGCATTAGAAAGCAAAAGAAACGCGCGTTGCCGGCCGCTGAGCACGTTAAGCAGATACCGATTGTGATGGAGACGGGACGCACTGCGTCCGCGTCTGTTGAGGATCTGCGCACACCCACCAAAGGCACCCAAACGCAGACGCCGCAGATGCAGACGCGCAAAACCCAAACACCAGAATCGGCGCTCAAATCGCACAAACGCCTCGAATGGGATCCCGCCGCCGATGTCGGCTATCGCTGTCAGCGCGCCGCCTCCGCGAGCAACATTAGCACACTGGAACGCTCCGTGCTGGAGGCGGCCATGCAGCCGGCAGGGCAACGGGCGGCGGCGGTCCAGCGCTCCAATCACTCCGAATCCGATTTGAATCGTTTGCAGGCGGCGGAGCAGCTGCCTCAGCCGGCGCCGGCGCCGCCGCTGGCCTCCAGCACATTTGTCAATTCCAGCCGCAGGTCCAGCCAGCCAACGCCCACGCCGACGCCGGTGCCCAGCCAGAGTTCACGTCGCGAATCCTGCGCCACCTCCGCGGTGAGCAGCTTCGATTATCATCACAATTCGCGGCCATCCACCGGGCAGAGCAACAGCAATAGCCAGAGCAGCAGCAGCGGCAGCTGCAATCGGCAGGCGCTCAGCGCCGAGGAGCTGCTGCGTCATGTGGAGCAGCAGCGTCAGGAGCGCGCATATACCGCACAGCTGGAGCAGGTGCTCTGCAATCGTCGCCACATGACGCGCGCCCAGAACAAGGAGAATCAACAGCCGCAGCCACATCCGCAGCCACAGCCCAGCCCTGTCGTCTCCTCCTCGAGCGTCACCTCCAGCCCGCCTGTGAAATGCGATCTGGATCTGGGCATCGATTTGCTCTGCTCGCTGGTCAGCAAGCGCAGCCTCAGCCATGTGCAGAAAAAGCAGCTCATACGCGACATTGCCAAGCGACTCGCCTGCCTCGATCTGGCCGCCAGCAGCAGCAGCTGCAACAGTCGCGCCGACTCCAGCCGCAGCTCCAGGCGCCAGCACAAGGAGCACAAGGAGCAGCCGCTGCCCGCTGCAAATGACAACCAGCCGAAGGGTAAGCGCGGTCTGTAGCTGTAGGAGGCATCTCCTAGCCGTAGTCCATCCAGCACAGGACATTAATATACAAACTTTCTCCTTGCAGAGCCGCTGCGCAAGGACACGGCGACCAACACGAGCAAAAGATGCCTCATACTCTCGCCGGAGCTGCTGACTCCGGCTGCTGCACCGGCTGCTGCTCCTGCTGCTGCTCCGGCTGCTGTGGCCGTGCCCGTGCCCGCACCTCGAACGCGCGTGGGCACGCCCACGCAATCGCCGCTGCCCTGCAGCTATGCATCCAGCAGCAGCGGCGCCTCCAACGAGCTGGTGACACAGAAAACCAATCTACAGACTAAGCAGCCGGCCACAACGGACGAGCTGGCCGCCATGCAGGAGTGGCTGAATCCGATGACACAGAGCGAGATTGAGTACGAGGAGAAGCGACAGCAGCAGCGAAGCGGCCAGCTGGATGAGGAGCGGCGCACACAGCTGGACTGGATCGAGACGGAGATAAGCCGCCTGCGCACGCTGCAGAATCTACTGAGCAGCGCCGCCAAGGGCGTCATGCTGGCCGCGCCACCGGACAAGGGTGTCCGCATACCCATCCAGCTGATGGATGCCATTGCGGATGCAGTGCCGCCGCCAGCGGAGGGCAGCGCACTGTCGCCGGCTGCAGTTGTGCGGCGACCGGCGCCGCCAGCGCCAGCGGCTCCGCCTGCAGCACCGCCTGCAGCATCCCCGCCGCCACCACCTCCTCCTCCACCTGCACCTGCACGTGCACCTGCATGTGCTCCGCCTGCCAGCAGGCAGCTGCCGCGCAGCAAAATGGCAACGCCCGCGCCGAGCCAATCGGGCAGCAGCGAGAGCGTCTGCTCCTTTGTCCAGCAGCGACAGCGCCAGTTCATGGCCCACTATCAGAACCAGCAGCAGCAGCGTCTGGAGCAGCAGCAGCAGCTTCTCCTGCTGCAGCAGCATCAACAGCAGCAGCAACAGCAGCTCATCCATCGCCAGCAGCATCAGCAGCAGCAGCAGCTGCAGCATCCGTTGCATGCCACATGCCACATGGTAAGCTCTTGAGTCATGATGAACTCAACAATTCTATTCAATTGGAAGCAGGTAACCTTTCCAAACCATATCAGGGGGAAGGCCTGCTCTTAACCTATGATGCATCCAACAAATCTATTTAACTGGCAGCTGGAAGCCTCTCCGATCCGTAACAGGAGGAATAACTGCCTTGTCCGTCTGTCCGTCTGGGAAGAGAGCGATTTTTATAGTATCGATAAATATCGAATAGGAATACTATCCGATCGATAACAAAAGGAATACCCGAGTCGATCTAGCCTTGTCCGTCTGTCTGGAAATATGTAAAATATATATTCTTGTATATCCTATGCACAACGAGCTTAAAATTGCCTTTCGTTCTCTCGCCCGATTTCCATAGTATCGATAAATATCGAATAGGAATACTCTCCGATCGATAACAAAAGGAATACCCGAGTCGAGCTAGCCTTGTCCGTCTGTCTTGAAATATATAATCTATATACTGGGATATCCTATGAACAACGAGCTTAAAATTGCCTTTCGTTCTCTCGCCCGATTTTCATAGTATCGATAAATATCGAATAGGAATACTCTCCGATCGATAACAAAAGGAATACCCGAGTCGATCTAGCCTTGTCCGTCTGTCTTGAAATATATAATCTATATACTGGGATATCCTATGCACAACGAGCTTAAAATTGCCTTTCGTTCTCTCGCCCGATGTTCATAGTATCGATAAATATCGATTTTCAGGCATGGTCTTTTAAGCATAACTCGCGAACATCCCAAATTTGGGATGTAGGTTCTTGCATAATAAATACAGCCTTAAAATATTTCACTTGTTGGTTTAGTTTTAAGGAAAGAATTATTTAAGCTTATGCTTAATCAAAGGAGGAAGCTTTAGGAAGTACGACAGAGTTCTCTTACGAAGAACCTTTTTCTCTTTGTTTTTTTTTTTACCATATTCTGATGAAATTCCCGACATATATGAGAATAATCGTATGCTCATGGGATCACACTTAAAGACATATTCTATATTCTATATTCATATTGCACAAATATCGCAGCCTTTACTTAAACTCTCTCTCTCTCTCTCCCTCTCTCGCTCTCTCTTTCTCCCTCACGCTCGCTCCATCTCGCTCTAGCAGCGCCCATGTCAGCAGCATCAGGAACAGCAACCCGAGCAATATATGCAAATGCAGTACGCCCAGACGACGGGCAATGTTTATGGCTGCGTGGATGAAGGCGCCGTCTACTACCAGGTCGTAAATTCGCACGGCGCGCCCTGCTACGTGCAACATGCCCTAAAGGCGGCAACAGTTGCAACAAATACAACAATGACAACAGCAGCAGGAGGAGGAGGAGACGGAGGAGAAGCAGCGGCAACTGGCTCACAAAATAGCTGCAGGGCGACGAGCTCCTCGACGTCGTCCATGTTGTGCATCAGCTCGGAGATGTCCATACCGATGAGCATGGTGAATGCCTGCGAGGGGACGACAACGACAACAACAACAACAACAACGCATCAATATGACGATGTGGCATGCCACCAGCAGTTGCAGCTGTGCCAGCGTCGACGTCACACGCAGCGCAGCACCAGCTCCGGCACAGCACATCGGGAGCGGGAGCGGGAGCGGGAGCGGGTGCAGGAGCAAAAGCAGCGCCAGCAAATGCTGCAAGTGCGACCGCGCGGCATTGCGTATGTCATTCAGTTTAGCGCCAATGGCGACACTAGCGAAATATTGGCGGAGTCGCTCTCGCTGCAGGATCATCTGCAGCGCGCCCGTCCCCTGTTCTGTGCCCAGTCCAAGCAGCGCAAGGCGATACTCAATCAAATGCAGCTGCTGCGCAATGCGCGACGCCGCGAACTCGATCAGCTTATCGAGAACAGCAGCCTGGAGACGCTGGACAGGCGACTGGAACAGCTGCCGCCACCGGTTACCTGTAAGTCCTTGAGCAGGGGATGCACTGCGTTCAGTTTATATACCCCGATTCTATCGAGCATCTACGAATCAAGACTTGCCGATGCAACTTTCCTTTTTGCACATTATATCCTTAGTCACAAACTGCTTCGCTTGGCTGTAGACATTCCTGATCAGCATCAATCAATCAATCAGAGTCAGATGTAGCCCGGCATATGTCCGTCTTGCTGTTGCAGGCAGAGCATATGTCCAATAGGCCGGACTAGACCTTTACATACCCCTATCCAAATCCCATATATCCATATATATATTTATATTCAATTAAAGATCTCATATGTATCCCATTTATTGACACAGCACGCGTCCGCATCTTCTCTACGCGGGAGATGAAGGCCCTGACCAGCAAACGCTGCGAGTTTCTGCCCGAGGTGCTGGCCGCACAGAGTCGGGAGCGCGAGGAGCGTCGTCGTCGCAGCAATCGCATCATGCGCGACGTTTTCAATCGCGTAAGTCCAACCGATATCATCTCTATATAGATAAATCTCTCTTAACTAATCGGTTGCTCACTCTTCTAGCGTCTGCAGCGTCGCGTGCGCCGTGGCAAGCTCTCCCTCAATCACAGTCGCACCGTCATCTAGCGGAGCGAGGCGTCGCGGAAGCTCAACAAGTGCCAGTTCAACATGTCCTATACATATATATATATATAAATATATATGTATCCAATCATGGATCGAATATTTCGACAGTTAATAACTGGTTTTATGCATGCTATTGTAGGCTCCAACGAATATCTATTTTCTAGCTAGATTTATCTCTATACATCTAATTTTTTTTTTGGTGTCTTGTCAACTTATCTATTTATTAGCATTTTACACTGTTTGACCAATAAATGATTGCATTTGCCATATTAGAGATCGTTTAAAAGTTAATATGCTTTCTCTATAAAAATCATGTATGAAGTATATTCGAATATGTTACCTTGAATGCAGCTGTAAAAGCTTTAAGATCTTAAGATACACATATATATATATATATATGGATATATATGGATATATTATATTATTTACCTCAGGCAGTATTTAAAGTTCTTAACCAAGCTAAAATAAGTAATTTTAATAGCTGCCTATAACTTTTTAAGCGGCCCATTGTTTTAGTTTTAAATCGTTTGGTTTATATTTAAGACATATTTCTCTTCAGATCATACTTTTATAAGATCCCAACTCGATGTTTCAGTCCAAGTCAAAAGCACAAACGTCTATTCAAACATTTTTCAAAACATATTCTGCCCACATATAATAGAAATCTGTACTTCACTTTGCAAAAGTATCTAAATAGCCGAAATAGCTTGTTTATTTTTATATATTTTGTTCATATTTTAGACATATTCCTCTTCAGATAATACTTTTATAAAAGCCAAACTCAATGTTTGAGTCCAAGTTGAATGCATTCAAACATTTTTCAAACGAAATTCCTTTCGCATGTCTGGAAAAATGTTATTCTCAAATATCCCTTATAGGTCGAAATTTCCCACTCTCATAACTCGGTCAAAACTTAACCGATTTTCATAAGGTTTCGCTTTTTGTTCATGGTTTGATCTCTAGATTAATCTAAATGTGGCAGCATTATTCTTGGTCGAAATTCATGTAAAAATTTGACCCTCAAATATCCTTTATAGACATAGGTCGAAATGTATGTTGTATGTACGTATGTATGTACGTATGTATGTACGTGTGTATTTATGTACGTATGTAGGTACTTATGTATGTATGTATGTATGTATGTATGTATGTATGTATGTAGGTACTTATGTATGTATGTACTTATGTATGTATGTATGTATGTATGTATGTATGTATGTACGTATGTATGTATCTATGTGTGTATGTGTGTATGTATGTATGTATGTATGTATGTATGTATGCATGTGTGTATGTATGTATGTATGTATGTATGTATGTAAGTATGTATGTATGTATGTATGTATGTGTGTATGTACGTATGTATGTACGTATGTATGTACGTATGTATGTACGTATGTATGTACGTATGTATGTACGTATGTATGCATGTATGTATGTATGTGCGTATGTATGTATGTATGTATGCATGTGTTTCTGTATGTACGCTTGTGAGAATGTATGTGTTTGAGTATGTTTGTTTAGATGTAGGTTTATATGTTTGTGGGTTTATATGCAAGACCAAGTTTACTTATAGCTTTGCTGCAGATTAAGAAAAACGTATTCTTAACTATTGGCTTACTACGCGATTCTCATGAATTCAAGTAAGTCGTATGAAAATCGTACGGGCTTCACTTTAAGTGGCGGAAGCGGCGGCTTCAATATTGGAGAAGGCGGCTTCAACTATGGATTAGACGGTGGCTTCAATATTGGAGGAGACGACAGCTTGAGCAAATGAGGAGCCGGCATCAACATGCACGAGGCAGTGGCTGTGGCTTTGGCGGAGGCCATTGAACCAACTGGTACGTATTATAAAAATAAGCAATTATCATTAACAAAAATAAAACCATCTGAATCTGACAGTATTATTTTTGTCAAAATTCACGTAAAACAGGTAACTTGGTCAAAACTCAACCGACTTTCACGAGGTTTGGCTCTTTGTTCATTTTTTGATCTCTCTAGATCAATTTGGCATTTAAATCTGGCAACATAATTCTGAGTGAAAATGGTTCCCTTAAATATCCTATATAGGTCGAAATTTCCCTTGTTCAAAACTTACCTGCTCAGATCAGACCAAAAACAAAGTCATCATTTTGATGGAATTTCTTTATTAGGATTCATAACATCGGTGATTAACAATATATATATTTTGAGTATTAGTTTTTATGTAATTATGTTAAACTCTTTTTGCAAGCTAAACAACGTTTCTTCCGATTGAATTCTCCTTAACATTTTGGTGTTCGATTCCGCGACAAATTCTTAAGACTAACAAGACAAAAGTTTTCTTCCTGTTGATAAAAATATGACGAAAAAAAAAATTATACTAACAAATATAATGAATAATATTAATACGCGTATATCGTAATCGTTTATCGTTGAGATTAGTATCGATTTTAATAATATATATATATATATGTATTTATCTATTTATAGGAATATGTTATCTTTCGTAATACCAGCCGCAATGCCAAATCAGGTCACAGGTCTCACATTTCTGTTTGTTACAGATCGAGCGTGCTTTTAGGTATAGCACAGGAAATACCATATCGGGGATAGTTTGCACTTGGTTTTGGGTAAGGTTTCTAGGTTAGGAACGTTTTTGGAATTTGAAACGTGGGAATATTGGGATCTAGACTGGACCAACACACAATGCAAAGCAGTTAACGCGTTTTCAATGTCGGTTAATGGGGGGATTATTTTCGAATATATGTATATAACCATAGAATATATATATGTATATATGTTAACAACGCGCTCGTATATCGGAAATACTCTTTACTTAAACGCTAATAATTGAGATTGCATACTCTCTCTCTCTCTATCTCCTTTTTAACATCTTATTTGCGCGCCACCATATCCAAGCCGCCCTCCTCCTCCATTTTGGACAGAAACTTGATGGTGCGCTGCGAGGGATCCGTCTGTCTGACCATATCGATCAGGCCCAACAGTTTCTTGATGCCAATGAAGACGCTGTGGATAATTACAAAAACAAAGTTAAAATTTCACATCTGGCTGGGGTTAACTTTTAATTCGAGCTCGATTTCCACTTATTTTTCGGTGAAACACGTGAAAATGCAATTTTAATGTCGAGTGCTTACAAATTGCGTTGGAATATAATTGGACTCAAATTTCGTTACTTAGATCCTTCATTTTCCACTCGTGTGCTTACAAAGTGAGTTGGAATATAATTGGACTCAAATTTCATTATTAAGATCTTTCATTTTCCACCCGGAATAGTGGATTTATCGTAACACGCTTTGCTTTTGATTCAATTTGGAAAATCTTTGTGCTTAAAGTAGCTCGCCTGAGAAAACGAAAAACCCTTTTCGAAACTCAAAGTTCAATCGATTCTCAGCAGATAAATTGAATGGGAAACCAAAAAGACTTTCATTCAAACGACTTTCACCTATTTCTCACGCTTGGAGCTTAAAGTAGCTCGGCTGAGAAAACGAAAAACCCTTTTCCAAACTTAAAGTTCAATTGATTTTTAGCTGAATGGGAAACCAAAAAACGACTTTCACCTATTTCTCACGCTTGTCGGTGGATTTGCCAAAAGCACTTTGCATGCACATACTATTTAGCTAGGGAAATGGGTTTTTTTGGCTTACCGCTTGCCGGCCATCTTCTTGGCGACGGCCTGAAGTTCGCTCTTGGTAAAGATATCCGTGTCCTCGAGCACGGCGATAACATGCTCCGGACTGGACAGATTGGGCACATGCAGCACGGATGTGAAGGCCGACAGCATTTCCATTTCCTCGAGCACTTCCCTGAAAGAGTTCAAAAACGGTTTAGCTGGCCGAGCATAGAATGAAGACCGTCTGCTTACCGTCGGCTCGAGGTGCAAAGGATCAGGAGCTTGCGTCCCTTGGGCGGCTGCTTCTTGAGCAGCACCAGCAATGCCTGAAGCGTTAGATTCGAGTATCTGGGCCCGATGGGTCCATAGTCGAGCAGACGCTCCACATTGTCCACAACAATGCAGCTAAGGGTCGAGCGATAGGCATCGTCGAAGATCTTGCGTATGTGCAGACACTTGGCGTTCTCGGTATAGCCGACCATGTCCTCCGGCGAGCAGACCTTGACGAACGGAAAGTCCGACATCTTGGCCAGCTTGGCGGCCAGCGCGGTCTTGCCCGAATTGGGGGCACCGGCAATTAGGACAGAGACCAAACCGCTCGATTCGGTGGCCTTCGCCTGCTGCACATAGAGCATCCCGTCCTCGAGCAGATGGGCCACCGGCTGGCCCCAGTTAACGATGCCGCGTGCCAGCATTGTATCGAGTATCTCCTGGGCTGTGCCGAACGCTGGCTTAATATCGTTCTCCAGCGAATGTAGAAAATCGGCGCGATTCACCTTCAATTTCTCCATGGCCTCCGGATCGACGGTGACCTTGGCATCGGCCTTGATCAAACGATTCATGGCGCTCGATTGGGCGGCACGCACCAGACCCTCCAGCTCGGCGCCGCTAAAGTTCTTGGTTATCGATGCCAGCTCCATGCAGTCGACATCGTCGCTAATCTTCTTAAAGTCCCGCATACGTTTCGTATGTATATTCAATATCTGGACGCGTCCCTGCTCGTTGGGCAAACTGATCTCCATTTGGACCTCGAGACGGCCGGGACGCAGCAGCGCCTCATCGATCATATCCCGGCGATTGGTCATCCCAATTACCAGTATATTGTTCAGCTGATCGACGCCGTCGATTTTGGTCAGCAGCTGATTGACGACGGTGTCGTGAACACCGCTGTTGCCGGCCACGGAGCCGCGCTGCTTGCATATGGCATCGATCTCATCGAAGATGATGATATGCAGCCCGCTGTTCGGGCCCAGACGCTTCTCCTCCTCCTCGGCCTCGGCGAACAGCCGTCGCACATTTGCCTCCGATTCGCCGACATATTTGTCCAAGATCTGCGGCCCGTTGACGATCTTCGGTTCGCGTGCATTCAGCATGGTGCCAATCTGGCGGGCCATCAAAGTTTTGCCCGTTCCGGGCGGTCCGTAGAGCAGGATGCCCTTGACATGCTTGCAGCCGAGCTGTTCGACCAGCTCGGGCGGAAAGACGCGCGAGGCGAACGCACGGCGAAAGATCGCATTGAACTCATTGTCCAGGCCGCCGATGCCCATTTTGCCAAAGTCCCAATCCGGATTGATGATCGACTGACGCACCACCTTGCCCTTGGACTTGCCCTGCAGATTCAGCGAGCTATTCTCGGCCTTCTCGAACTGCACGGTCGTGTTGCCCAGAATGCGGCCGAAGCGCACATTGCGCGTGGTCGGCTCCTTGCCCTCGGCGAGGGTCTTCGGATCGATCGCCTCCAGCACTTTGACCGCCAGGCCGAGCAGTTTCTTCTCCTTGAAATTGAAGACCAGCGACTGGCCCACAGTTAAGGCCATGCCAGCGAATTGCATGATGAACTCCTTGGCCATCTCATCCGAGTCATACGGCTCCTGCGACACGCTACAGAAGGGGATGAGCGGGGTTTATTGCCTATCTTTAAAGTTCCCTCACAGCTCACATCTTTTGCAAGAAAGATCAACGGGTCTGCTCTACAAAACATTCTCCCCAAGCCCTGTTCAAGAAATCTTGGAAAACTGCCTTTGTTTAATGTCTCACGAGAATTCGACAAAACGTGTTTGTCTCTAGCTGGAAATAGAACACAACTTGATCCAACCTAACCTAACATAACCTACCCTAACCTAACCTAACCCAACATAACCTAACTTAACCTAACCTAACATAGAATAATATAACCTAACCCAACATAACCTAACCTAATCTAACCTAACATAACCTAATCTAACCTAATCTAACCTAACCCAACATAACCTAACCTAACCCAACATAACCTAACCTAACCTTACAGCTCTACGTTTTTAAATATCCAAATTGATATTACCTAACCTTACTTTATCTAACCTAACCCCACTTTTACAGTCCAAACTACACACACACACACACAAAGCGCAGTTATGTGCTCCTTCAGGAAAAATCAGTTTTGAGGTTAGGGTTCATTTACTGCGATCTAAGCTAAACCCACTTTATCTATTGGAACCAAACGCAATGCCAAAGCTTTAATAACCAAGACGACTTTCAGGTCGGAATCCCGCAGCCTAACCAGATTGTGGGTAAACTAACCTCACTTTTTTATATATTTTTCACACGCACACACTTACGTTTTCTTTTGCAGAAAATCGGTTTCGAAGGAGACATTTGTTATGACATCGGAGCTGGCATCGAAACGATAGGGTCGCACCTCCAGGTCCTGGTTAATGGAGAGCATCGCCCATTTGCGCTGCACCAGAGAGAAGCCCACATAGCCTCGGGGCACCTCCATGGTCTTCTCCAGAGCGAAGATGAAATGTTGTCCCGCTGCGGGCGAAATGTCCGCATACCTGAAAGGGATCAAAAAAAAAACAAAATATAAGAATAATATTCGATGATGAGGAGCTGAAGAAGCTGCTGCAGTTGGTCCAATTGGCATACTTGACATCGTCGGGAAAATCGCCGACATTCACAATGGCGCGATTCGTCAAGGACAGCTCGTCCGTGGGACATTTGGTGGCCTTCAAGCGCTGCAATTACCGTTAAACTTGAGTATTTATTTATTTTGCTTTATTAATATGCAGAGGAGCTCACATAAGACATGGCTGCTGCTGCTGCTGCTGCTGCTGCTTCTTCTTCTTGCTGCTGGGGATTGCCTGTCTGTGTGTGTGTGAGTTTGTGGTGTGGGGGGTTGTTTCTATTTACAGCTTCAGCCTCAGCCTCAAGCTCAGCTATTATCGATTCGCGGCGATACGCAATTTCTGTTTTTGCGGCGTTTTTATTTTAGCTTTGGCTCTGCTGCGCCTATTTGACACATACGGCAATTTCTCAAATTTTTATAATTATTAACACTTAACACTTTACGAATTTGGATTATGTTGCATTTCTTTTGCAGCTGTCGCACCACAATTCACAGCTTGACTTTCATTGATTTCTACAGGACGTCGAAATTTTTTGCTGCGCAGCTTAAAAAAATGCGCGCGCGCACAGCGCTGCCAGCACTGTAAGCGAGCTGCAGCAAGTTGGCAGCCCGGCGACGCACATTTGAGCAGCAGCTGTTAAGCTCTGTTAGCGTTAACAGCTGTTATTAGTCGCTTAGCAGCGCGAGCAGTCGACGTTATTCTCAGCAGAGACGTCATACGTTGCGGTTGATTTGCGGGCAAGCGCGCGTGCATTCGTTTCGATTCTTTTATCGAGAAGCGGTTTCTTTTTGGTTTGCAAAAATCGTGTTTATTTTTTTGTTGTTTGTCCAGTGATTTGATAAGCATTATCAGTGCCATGTGTTATGAAACAACAACAAAATGAGTTAAATCTTCTTTTTTTTTTCTACTATAACATATTTTGCCATTTACACTTCAACGTTTTGCGCGGCGACCGGCAAAAAGGTCAAGCGAAGCAGCTGAACAAAACAAAACAAAAAATATAAACAACAACAACAAGTGCAGCATCATAGAAGCAGCAGCAACAACAACGACTTTTGGAAAGCAGTCCAAGCAACAACAACAACAACTGTAGGCTACCTGTTGAGCGTAGCGCCGCAGTCGCAGCCAACGTCGCTGCCGCTAATAGACTGGCTTAAGCTGGAAGGTTAAGAGCGATTTGCAAGTGTCCGTTGCATGTCGTTAACAGTTGTGTTGTTGTTGTTGTTGTAACTGTTGTTGTAGCAGCGCATCTAGAATAACAGCAACAAAAATGACAAAGCCTCAATCTTCGCCGCGTTCGAACTTCTTCGAGAGTCGAATTCATTTGGCGCTCTTCGCCCTTTTCGCCGCGAACGTAGTCTCGTGCTTCAATCTGGAGCAGAGGCAGCCGCTGATCAAGTACGGGCATCCCAACTCGAATTTCGGCTACTCGCTGGCCACGCACACCATCGGCGAATATAATTGGCCCAATAACACAAAATGGTAAGCGTCAAAGACAAACTAAACAACTTGATTTCAACCGGTTTTCTTTTGTTTTCGTATTGTTTTTACTAATTATTCGCTCAAGCACACGGTTAAGCACAGATCCAGAATGTTTCACTTTTTAGATAACAACAATAAAATTCCTTCCCCTGGAGGAGTCTTCCGCTTTTCGTATAAACATGCTTTTTGTCTGCCGCATTCAAGCTCTGAATATTTCAGACAGATCCTATGTCGTAGCCGTTCCAGATCGGACCAATATATCATATACATAGCTCCCATAGGAAAGATAGGTCAAAAATTGGGTTCTCTGAGAAAAACTTGTGTTTTTTAATATATCTCCACCAAACTCGGCATACTTCTACAAATACTACATATATGTGAAATCTTATCAACGTCGGAGCCCCTATATCATCTAGCTGCCAAAAAACTAGGCACTTGTATGGAATAGTTTTTTGTTTTTCAGGATATTTGAACCAAACTCGGCATTTTTAGGTTTCACCTTGCTCCTTGCATTTATGCAAATTCTTATCAACATCGGACTATAATATTATATAGCTGCCATAGGAAAGATCGTTCGGAAACTAGGTTCTTGTATGGAATAGTTTTTTGTTTATCAAGATATTTGAACCAAACTCGGCATTTTTAGGTTTCACCTTGCTCCTTGCATTTATGCAAATTCTTATCAACATCGGACTATAATATTATATAGTTGCCATAGGAAAGATCGTTCCGAAACTAGGTTCTTGTATGGAATAGTTTTTTGTTTATCAAGATATTTGAACCAAACTAGGCATTTTTAGGTTTCACCTTGCTCCTTGCATTTATGCAAATTCTTATCAACATCGGACTATAATATTATATAGCTGCCATAGGAACGATCGTTCCGAAACTAGGTTCTTGTATGGAATAGTTTTTTGTTTTTTAAGATATTTGAACCAAACTAGGCATTTTTAGGTTTCACCTTGCTCCTTGCATTTATGCAAATTCTTATCAACATCGGACTATAATATTATATAGCTGCCATAGGAACGATCGTTCCGAAACTAGGTTCTTGTATGGAATAGTTTTTTGTTTATCAAGATATTTGAACCAAACTAGGCATTTTTAGGTTTCACCTTGCTCCTTGCATTTATGCAAATTCTTATCAACATCGGACTATAATATTATATAGCTGCCATAGGAACGATCGTTCCGAAACTAGGTTCTTGTATGGAATAGTTTTTTGTTTTTCAGGATATTTGAACCAAACTCGGCATTTTTAGGTTTCACCTTGCTCCTTGCATTTATGCAAATTCTTATCAACATCGGACTATAATATTATACAGTTTTTAAGATATTTCGACAAAACTCGGAATTTTTCTTTCGCCCTTCTCCCTCACTCGATTTTTAACCTTAATTGATTGACATTGATTATTATTAATACAGCACTTTGCAAAATACAACAAATTCCTTTTGATGCCAATAACAACAACAACAAAAAGTAGAAAGAAAATATATAAAAATAAATAAAAAACGTGTTTGCCTTTTGTGCAATGCAATTGTTGTTATTTTTGTTGTTAATGTGCGAAACTTGTTTGAGATTTAGTTGATAGTTGTTGTTGTTGTTGTCGTCGTTAGACACTTCGATTACCATATAATATAATAAAAATGATTATTGATTATTTATAAAGATGATGCTACACACACACACACACACACACACACACACAGAGAGAGATCTTTCGATCTGGCATGTGGTTTCCATTAACAAACGAACGAGAAACGAGAAACGAGAAAGAAAAGGAGAACTTTTCGATGGCCATTTAGTTAAGATCGTATAACTAATTGAATACATCTGCAAAAAAGAACGAAACAGCAAAAACAAATTTAGAGAAAGCTATGAAAAATGATCGAATGATCTATCTATCTATCTTTTGTTTCTCAAGTGTTGCCCAGATCTTAACTAATTTCATGCAAATTGTATTTAAATCCATCTGCAGATTCAAAGATTCTCAAGATCGAGTGCTTAATTGAATATTTGCTTAGATCTAGTTTCTTTTTCTGATACGATATTAATTGAAATATTTGCGAATCTGACGAAATATAAGATATATTTATTTATGCTAAAAGAGCTCAACTATTTTTCAAAGAAAAGTCGCTCAAATAAATCTTGATATTCATTTTACAGGCTCTGAACCACTTCTCAACGATCGTCGAATAATCTTTAGCAGAAAGCTCCACAACATAAATATTCTTGGGAAATATGAATAATTGAAAGCAAGGCATAAAGAACATGAATTAATCGAGCCTTTTTTCTATTCGTATCTAGTGAGATTTCTCCTCTCTGTAAATGTTCTGCATGGAACTGAATGAATTCCGGAAATCGGAAAGGTTTCTCAATGCAAGAGTTCTGCACAGAATTCAAGCGTTATCTATGAATCACGAGTTCCGGGAAAAGGGAAAAGGTGACTTATTCACAGCAATTCCATCTGTCACATTACGTAAACAAAAAAGGGTTTATTTGTCGACGTTTCGCGAAATCTAACATTTATTGGTATTATCTTTTACGGAGAAACCCTTTGGCTGCAGCTCCCACATTTGTCCGTAATAACATTTGGCTATATCTCTTGTGTATTTAGGCAACAGCTGGGATCAGACCCCGACCCAGTCACCGTCCCCTTCCCCGTCCCCTTCCCCGTCCCCGACTCAGTCGCAGTCGCAGTCGCAGTTCCCAGATAGGACATTGTGTGTTTTCATAATATTTGCATTTGCCAGATATTTCAACAATATATTTCATTGTTTATCGCTGTTACTCATTTGATTTCCTTGTTTTTGTTTTTCAAAATACCCTGTACGCATCGCAAATGGGTTGACGACGGAGCAGCATGCTTTGTGCTTCGCAGATAGAGAGAGAGATGAAAACCTCTTCGATCCCATAAACTCGATAAATCTGAAGAGCCTACAGTTTATAAATCTGAAATATATGTATTTCTCTACATCGTAGAACAATATCTGTTTTCTTTCGTTATCTTCCGCTCATTTCTAGAATATATCGATTGAATAATCGATAACTATCGATAGAACAATCGATAGCTATCGATATATTCTAGAAAAGAGCGGAAGATAACAGAATGAAAATCGTTTCAGACAAGGTTATTTACACATAACTCGGGGATTAAGAGCTTTAGGCACAACAAATTCCGTTTTTGGGCTCGCATATAGTATACACAGATCCGGAATAGTTCACTTTTTGGATAACTCCAACTTCCCCCCCCTCCCCCCTCCACCCTCCACCCTGCCTGCTGACCGAAATGAAGTCTTCTTCGAGATATTAATTCCCTTTTTTTTCTGGGTTTTCAATCAAGAAGAAGAAACACACCAACTGTAACTAGCAGAAGGGTGCAGGGTATCTGCAAGTCGAGCACTCTCAACTATATTTCTGTTGTTTTTTTTTCCGCATGCATTTTACAGCGAACGTTTTTTTTTTTGCAATTTCATTTACAAACTTATCTCCGCGCTGTGTGTGTGTATTTATTTTTGTTGCCAGTTGATAAGGAAATATGTGTCGAGGGTCACAGGAAGACTCCGATGTCCCATGCGACTGCAGTCGTAGATATACTTTTTTTTATATTTATATTCTTTCTATATATATTAGATACAAATTTGCATAGTTAGCCAATGTGCAATGATCTGCATGTGCGTCGCTAGCCAACCGACTAGTTAAATCATCATGTTAAAGCTGATGTTAATCGTGCTGCTAATTTGGCCTGAAGCTAGCCCGTCTGTGCGCTTCAAATGGCAACAACAACCGCAACAACAACAACAACAACAACAACAATGCGAATAACTGTGACCGTGTTCGTATCCGCAGCAATTGTCTGTCTGGCGTACGCCCAGTTCGCATTGCCCATGCCATAGTTGGCAGACAAATCGGAGCCAACCGCAATGCCAATAAAATGACAAACATCAAAAAACATGTATCCATCAAATGCAATATAACGAAGCTGGGATACGCTCACCAAGCACAACTTTCCCTTCAAAGTCCCTTTCAATTCCTCTTTACGTCTCCTTCGTAAACGTTACACTGACCGCGCTGTGTTCTCTCTAACTCTCAGGATTATATTGAAAGTGTAAAATATAATCGTTAAGTAGATTCAAATGGAAAATAGATAAAGAGTTTGTGACTTTCTGCAATTCCCCTTTCATGCTATATTCGTAAACGTTTCATGGACAACGCTTTGCTAAAACCTATTCATGCAAAACTCTAACATAACATTATTTTTCTTTCATCTCTAAAAAATTTTGTTTGTTTTTTTTTTTGTTAATTTTGTATTCGTAAACGTTTTACTGAATATAAATTTAAATCGATTTTTATGGAATTCCACAAGTTTTCTTTTTCCAAAGTCGGTCAGGCTTAACAGCAAGCCAATATGCTCCTGAAAGTTAGGGCATACAAATAGAAAATCAATGCAAAAGTATTGCAGGGGCTTGGCAGAAGGCAATCCAAGACGTCTTATGGCTTATGGTGCCATAAAAATATGTATTACAAGAGCAATGTATCCACGTATTTCTGTTGTTGTTGTCATTTCTGTTGTTGTCGTCGCCAGTCAGTCTGAGGAAGTTCGTTTCGTGGAAGTCACTTGTCCACTTTTGGGTGGCAGTGGGTCAAAGCAATTAGGTTGCTTCTGCACAGTGTCCCGCACAGACTACTTGGGCTAAGAGCTAGCTAAAGCCGGCCAGACTTGATTCCATTTCCAGAGCCTCCGAAATACTTAATAAGTGTTTTTAATTCGAGTTTTTATGCTTAGATTAGAAATATGTGGGCGAAGCTTTGACTTTGAAGCGCTCGTTGGCGAAATGGCTTTATGTAGAGGAGCTTCAAAGCGCAGCTAGCCTTTGAAAGCTTTTAATCATGCATTTTAGGGAAAAGCAAGAGCTTTAAAGCTGCTTGAGCGCCTTAAACCAAAGCACATGCACGAAGACAAAAGCTATTAAGCGCATCTAGCATATTAAAGCTTTTA